TATATATATAAACTTTCTTTGTACACGTACAATATGAACATTATGCATATAACATATTTACTTGTGTGTCGTACGGAATATAAAACGTGGGGGCTCGCCCACGAGGCTCCCCCTTTTATGCACTTAAAAAATATTGCTTGTATACGCTTTATGCCTCTCGTTAACAGACTCTTGTGGGCTACGGTGTGTATATGATGTACGTACTACACACACAAATATAGACGCACCCGAACGCATTCGAATACACACATGCAGCACACAAAACACTCCGATGTGACGATTTATTTTTCACGCGATTAAAAATTTTTTTCATCAGTCATACAGCCCCTTATTATGTATGTATTATGGCATTATATAACTTATTATGGCTTACGATTACGCTAAATTTTTTTATTGTACACTGCCGCCTTGACCACTATTATCGCGATCGTGAGCAAGGCACAAACCTATTTCCCTTATTTTATCTTTTGATCCTCGGACTTGGTTGGCGAATAGCTCTATAATAAAAAAAGAGATATATATATTTTTACGCACAATAATAAATTAATGAGTTAAAAATTTTCATTGTGCATTTTTTAAAATATGAATTATTAAGTAAGATAACATTAAGTAAAATTTATATTTCTTTTTATTTAAAAAAGAGGTATATAAGACAGAAATATTTCTGATTGCATGATATGATATGTTGCACCACGAGATTGTAATTATAATTATCGTGTCGTAAATTTATTCGTGAGACGATAAATTAGAGCTCGGTACGAAGCGATCGTACAGGCAATCGCGTTGGATAATGCCGCACCATGAATGAGCTCGATTAAGCGTGAATATTGAAACATTAACGTAACTGCCCTGTCTGCAACAGTGATTTACAAAATTGCCCTTCTTGCCTGTCGCCTGGCAACCGCTTGATTATTTAGAAATTTACCTAATATCAATTTCCTTGTCTTCGATAATTAAAATATTAATAATCTGTATAAAGCTACAATCATCACCAGAATTTCTTTTGCTTTTAACATTTATCTTAAGTCGATGTGAATATTTCAGAATTTCATCACTGATGAGGAAATTGAGGAAAATCCACATTATACGTGATCGATATCGTAAGACTTTTCCAGAAGATATCTCTTACAATCTTATACGAGTTTTCTTACGATCAACTAACGATGTGTGTGTGTGTGTGTGTGTGTGCGCGCGCGCGCGCGCGCGCGCGTGTGCGTGTGTGTGTGATTCACAAAAGTTTCCCTCTGATAATTCGCCAGCAAAGTCGGACATGAAAGAAGTTACTTATTTACTCGAGGATCATAATGCATCTCAATCTCAGTGCATGGAAACGAGAGTTCATTCATACTATGAAAGACATTTATCTATAATTGTTACATCTGTTTGACTGTCTCCGACTATCCAAGAATAAAAAAAAGTAAAAAATTCAGGATTAAAACTTTCAACTTTAAAAATGAAAAATTTTGAGAGTTATAGGGATAATTATACAAAAAGGAATACATTTTATTTTAAAAATTCATTCCTACATATGAATTAATTGTGCAAAATATAAAAGAAAATATATATTTATATAAAGAATCTTATTTTTTAATATTTTTTAGAACAAAAGCTGTTAATAAAGAGAGTGAAGAATTATATTAATTTTCATATTTATATATTTATATATTTATATATTTTAAAGGTTCAACAATTTCTTTACCTCTGTAAAGAGACAGTTGGACAGAGGCATCATTAATTGTCAGAATATAAAGACTTTAATATTTAAAACGATAGTACTCGCTATGTTCGTTATTTATTGTTCATATTTAATGGCGAAGTTGACTCAATGATAA